AAGAAGATTGGTTGAGCAAGCCATGAGTAGCAAGCTAGTACACACAGTCCTCTGTGGCCTCTGCAACACCTCCTGCCTCAGGGATGCTGCCCTGTTTGAGCTCCCGTCCTAACCTCCTTCTGTGATGAGCAGTAATGCTGAAGTATAAACCAATTAAACCATTTCCTACCCCACTTGGTTTTTAGTCATGGTGTTTCATTGCAACAATAGAAACCCATTAATTAAGACACATGCAGGTCACTTACTTTACTACTTATATGCTGGATTGTCTTTTGACTGACCCTCTTGTAAATACCAACGTTCTGATGGGAAGCAAGTCATCCTCCCTTTTCCAAGTTGACAAGCAACAGTGGCAAACAGACCTCAGGCACATAAGGAAATATAATTAGTTTATATAGCAACAAATGTGAAGAAGATAATGAGATAGTTACATGAAGGCTATAATATTATAACTATATTAGATCATTTGTCCAGTAATGATTTTTGTGAGTAGGGGAAGGGCCTTTGCATAATACTTTAACTCAGAATACTCTGCTGGCTTTCAGGAAATGATGCTTACCTGAGACCAGAGAGGAAGAAGCAGTAGCCAGTGTGTAAGTTCCATGGTAAGAAAGAACTCCAGGTGTTCTAGACGTAGAAGGCACTGGGTTTGATCCTATTGCATGTACTGGCTTTGGGGGAGCCTAGTCTGTTTGGATGCTCACCTTCCTAGACCTGGATGGAGGGGGGAGGACCTTGGACTTCCCACAGGGTAGGGAACCCTGACTGCTCTTTGGACTAGAGAAGGAGGGGGAGGGGAGGGGGAAGGGGGAGGGGGAGGGAAATGCTAGGAGGGAAGGAGGTGGAAGAAAAAATAAAAAATAAAAAAAAAGAACTGCGGTTACACAACTATCTATACACTCCACTGTCATTTTATGTTCTTAAAAATTAGATGTCATAATGATAATTTTTTCTAATGAAAATGTTTGCCAGTGCTTAGAGCAAGGATGGAGGCAGGGATGGTCTGGAACTACATGAAGAAGTCAAAGCAGAGGATGCAAGTGACTCCCAGATACAGGGAAGTGCGGGTATGGAACAGAACAGCCAACCATCTATTGCTGTCAGACAGTTTCCCCAGTGAAACACTATCAAGATGAAAGGAACACCCCGTGAGAAAAATCAAAACACAGGTGACAGCTGAAATTGAAATCATCCGCTTAAAATTTATTTGGTGCTGTAAACAGTAGGGAGTGGCAAGGCTTATTAATAATGAAATCCTTATTTGGATTCAATTTTCATAAAATTCAGCTTCACTCTTTTGGTAGACAAAACATGAAAAGGTTTTGCTTAATCTGACAAGCTGTGCACATAGGAAACACTAATGGCTGATATTCTCCTTTGGCTACTTGCTAAAACACTGTCTTCAAGAGCTACAAATTCCATGTGTGTCTATGTGCCTGTTCCTCTCAGTATACTTTTCTAGACATATAGCCTAAAAGCCATTCTCAAGATGTAAATAAGCTGCCTTAGCAATGCTTATTTACAGATTAAGTTATTAGGAACTAAAATACATATTTTCTGAGACACAATACTATGGTGTAAGCGTGGTTACATGCAGATGCATTAGCAGGCTAGGAAGGTTGACTGAACTCACATGACAGGTATGCTAAGTACTATAAGTGATGAGATTAAACACTGCTTCTGTGGGAAAACAGATGGAAATGCCAATGCATTCCAACTATTGCCTGACAGTGTAAGGGAAGGGTATGTGCCAAAGACCCGCCTCGATGCAAGCAGGCCCATCACAGTGCTGTGGAGCTGAATGAAGCAGGGTAAACAAACCTTGCCCAGAAAGAATGGCGACAGAGGATGGTGGATGGAGAGAGATAGCCCCGGAAGTCAGGTATGGCTAGAGTTATCTGTACTGAATCTGTTGGCAACATGTTTGCTATAAGTTAAAAATCATTAATGAATAAAACCCTGTCCCTCCCACTACATGATAAGAGGGCTTAAAAATCACCTCAATAGTTGAGGAATAAAATGTCAAAGGCAAATCTGGGGGATGAAGGTGAGCTGTGGGAACCAGCACAGCTAAGAAGACCCTGAGGAGAAGTTTTTAGGGATAGAAGGAAAGAAACCATAGATTTAATTTTAAAAATCATCTTTGATAAAGCAGCATATACTGTACAAAGTGCATCTGTCTGAAGCTGCTGTCCTGGAACATAGAGGATAAAGCTGTGTGAGATGCAGGCCTGAATGTTAGTGCAGAATCAGATCAAAAGTTACCAACAAGCTAATTAATATCAATTCTTCATTGCTAACAACTGCATCTTGGGATATCAAGAAAATATTCAAAGATTAATGAAAGGCATTAAAATCCAACCCTTTTGCTCGTAGGTAAAGCATAAAACAATGTAAGGTCACAGGTGGCAAAGTAATGTGGCCTGCCACAGGCTTAGATGAAATGAGAGTGGCCTGACTTGAGGGATCACGTGATTCCAAGAATAGCATCTCTGGGAGAGAACATCAGACGTTGACTGTAAAGACAACTGAAGTCTAACCAAAGATTACAACTACACTTCCATCTTAAGGAAATTATTGATTTTTTTTAAAAAAGCCAGTCATATATTTATGCTATCTGATAACATGCCATGACTTAAAGGTCTCTAAATGTAAGGTTAGACTGATTATCCCTGTGCAACTGCCCCACACGAAAGTCTCCAAACACACGTCTCTTAAGGTCCCCTAAGAAAATTAACATTGGCCCTTTAAGTTCTAAAACATTTATCCATTTATTGAATGAGATATTATCGCTAATATTATTTGTTTAAGACATTGTTTTTAATTATGTGTACATGTGTGCCTATACGTGGATAAATGCACAGGATTGCAGTGTCAATAAAGGCCCAAAGAGGGTGTTGGGTCTTTGGAGTTGAATCTATAGTCAGTTGAGAGCTGTGTGCTGGGTTCGAAGCCCAGGTTCTCTGCAAAAGCAGTATATGCTATCAACTGCCAAACCGTCTTTCCAGACCAAAGAAAATGTTGAATGTCATGATTACTTTCTACTAAGATGCATTTTTCTTCTTAAAGTATCATCCACTCCAGTAATAAGTTTTTGTGGGTCTCCTTTCATCTCGCAGCTTCTATTATACCATCCTGCCATTGTCGCCTTTGTTTCCAGTGAGAGTCCTCTCTAGTCTGTAGTAGTTTGAGAATAACTGGATCACTAAAACTGAAAGGAACGCATGTAACATAGGGGTTAGAAACGCTAAGAAAAGACATTCCTGAAGCTAAATCACCATTATAAAGGTGGTCTTGATGGCTCAGAGGCAATCACAGTGGCACTCTTTTAAACATACTGCACTTTCCAATTTAATAGCATTTTCAATGGCATCTGAAAATCTCTGAGTTTTCTGAGACACCAAAAATATGGAATAGCAGACTGGAGAGGCGTAGAGTGGGCACGAGCACTTGCTGCTCTTGTAGAGGACCCAGGTTTGGTTCCCAGTAAAGGTCTCATAATCATGCATGACTCCAGTTCCAGAGGAATCTGACACCCTCGTCTAGCGGTCCTGGGCACTGCAAATGCAGACAAAACACTCTCACACATAAAAAATAAAATAAATAAATAAGTATAGATAGAATTGTTTTTCATAGGCCTGGCTACATATTTCTGCTTTAAATGACATTTTAACCTCCCAATCCATTTTTTTTTGTTAACAGTGTTCTTGATATATTGTTTCTGAACAGCTTTATAAATTCTAGTTTCCAGCACTATCTGTAGGTAAAAATTAAATTACTTAATTAAGTTTGGGAAAACATCATCTAACAAGAAACAATTGAGGGAGATATATTAGGCAGCATGTGGAAAAGCAATGAATAAAAAATTGTAGTCATCCTTGAACCCACAAAACCATTAGAAAATAAAAAAGATTCTTTGTTATGGGAGCCTTATGGGCTCCAGAAACCAAACAGAATACTGATGATCATGGCTACAGGCCCACAGAATTTAGTGTATCCAGTATGTGCACCCATTTGCTGGTAAAATCTCAGCATCATGTTACAAAACCTGACTTGATTGCACAGTGCAAGGCAGGACCACATCTGGACAAACAGGCCATACTCCATCTTCACAGTGCCTTACTATATGACGCTAGGGAAAACGCAGTTATCAATAAAGTGTTTGTTTTAACATTGTAAGCAGGAACATGTGGAGTACTTCTTTCAAATAAAGCTTTGAAGAGGTAT